GTAAATTGTAAATATTAAGATTTGGGGGTCCATCTTAAAAGGTCAACCTTATTAAGAGGAGTAGCCCAAGATCTTTATTAATTGGTCTGTGTCAACATCTTTATTCGATGTGGGATTATATCCCTTAACACGCCCCCACAAGATAGTGGCTCATTTGAGCAAACCAATGTTGGAGTATAATGGGCTCTGATAGCATGTTAAAAATTGGGGTTCCAACCTTAAAAGGTCAACCTTATTAAGAGGAGGTGGAAATCGACTACCATTTTGTCCGTGAACGAGTTCAGCATAAAACATTGGAAGTTCACTTTATATCAAGCAAGGACCAATTGGCTGATGGCCTCACAAAAGCATTAGTTTCTACACGGTTTTCCCATCTTCGGTCCAAGCTCAACGTGCAGCCTTCCCCGCTGAGCTTGCAGGGGCATATTAAGGAAACACCTTCCAAAACAAATGATGACAGCAAGCTTGATTCCGTATGACAGCAAGCTTGATTCCAGCCCATGATCTCAGGAATTGCATTCATTCACTCCTGCGTCCAAATCTTCATTTGACATTATAATTAACACAAACATACCGTTTATTAAATATAAAGAGTAAAAAGTTAAAACTTGGCTTTCTAAGCCAACAACAAAAGGAAATCGAAGGAAAACACATGCATGCATGCATGAATTATTAAACATAATAACTCAAATGAAACACCATCACACTAATAATTTTATGTTTATGTGCTTCTTAGCCTTTTCACAGAAGCATTTTCTCCTTCATTTGCTTGAGCCTGTATCTTCAACAAATTAGGCTTCTCGTCTAATAAATTCATAAACCATACAGCAGACATTTTTGGGATTCTTGTCAACCGTCCATTCACAAAATCCACATAAAAAATGCCAAATCTGACGGTGTATGCTGAGCTCCATTCAAAATTGTCGAACATTGCCCATATATAGTAAGCCTTCACATCTACGCCTTCTCTGAGAAAGAAAAATCGTGAACATTAAATATTTTTTTGCAAGATAGTCAAATTATTTCATATTTTATAATTTGCTTTGAGAACAGATATATAATTATATGAATGATGTCT